AAACATTTAGTGCAAATAATTACTTTTACAATTAGTTATTTTCAGTTTTTATAAAACGTATAATAAATTTTTAACCAATTAAATTTGTAGTAATAAATCAGTCAAATGTGCTATTAATATAGCCATGCACATTATTTGAAAATGATTGATTTTTCATTTTTTAAAAATATTTTAGTTATATTATTACTACAAATAAATAATAAACGAATGTTGAAAAAATGGTTATATTCATTATAATTATGATTGCAATTATCACATAAAAATGGTGATTTTATTTACTATTATGTATTTTCATTTGTATGTATTTTACTATATTAATATTTGAAATTGTCACAATTAATAGTACAATTTTTGTACAGGTTGATAGAATTAGACACTAAAAAAAAGATTGATTATTGCAACAATTTAGATAGTAAAATATGACATAGCATTTTTATATGACTGCAGCAATCAGTTTTTGGTTGCAGCAGCAAATGTTTAGTTGTGTTAGCCTATCCGCAATGTCAGTATATGATTTTAATAGGCTCTGAACGAGTTATTAACTTAAGAAAATAGTCAAATTCGCTCAGCCCATCGCCAAATGCAAACGACAGGATAGTATCCGTCCCGCACGGCAATTGCATTGCAAACAACGTGCTTCGCCACGCTGGGCTGGGCGAATTTGGCTATTTTCTTAAGTTAATAACTCGTTAACTATTGTGACACTTGTAAAATAGAGGACTTTTTTTCTCAATTTAATCCATTCTCCACATGTGTGAAAAACTTATCACTAAACTCCAAACACCCTGTATATATTAGACTTCTAAGGAAAAAGAAAATTTGTTTTCTAATCGAGCACTTGATTCAAAAGCTTCCATTTCATGCTAAAAGAACATCCCTAAATTTTTATTTAAAAATATTAAGATTTAGAGGTCACTAGTGAATGATTTTTAAATCAAAATTTCGATTTTCCTTAATACATGTTTCATTTGATGCAAAAATGGCTTAATCCGGATTTCAAATGTGGTACTATATGCTTTTTTAATCACTGAACACAATGCAATAGTTCATTTAAATGAAAAAATGATATAATTTGAATGCTTGGAACTTTGCTAAAATCGACCTTGAATTTGACATTTTTTTACATTAATCAGGCTATATTTCTTAAGGCATATATCGTAGGATTAAATGAATTTATTCACATTCTTTTGATATCATTTAAACTGTACTTATATCTTTCATGCTTTATTGTACAAATGTATATTAATAAAAATCATTATATACATAGACTTTTATGTGAAAATAGCAAATTTTTATTTCAGTTCAAAACTCTAGAATTTGACTACATCTTATGTCTCAATATATCAAATATTATATAATTTAAATAGTATCAATTATAAATAATTATTTATTACTTAAAAATAATTATATAAATAATTTAAGAAATATTATAATCATTAAATACCTCCAACTTTAACCTGATGACATTCAAACATTATATTATCTTGCAAGTACAATCAAGGAATGAAGTTTCTGAGAGTGCTGCGGCCTCGCGAAAACTCTTTCCTCCTCATCGATTCGATCACCAAAGCGAGAAGCATAGTCTCGATCAACAATATCTCACAACGAGACTTCATCATTATTGTCATCGACAATAAGTAATAACCCAAAGAAAGATTCGCCAAGAAAGAGACAGAGAAGCGGGAATTGCTGATGAACCACAACAGGAGTCATACCCCATCATCAAACAGACGACACAAATCATCTTCCAGAGGCAGAGGTGATAGAGGCGACAGAAATAGAGATGGAGATAGGAGATACAGAGGGAAAAGAAAAGTAAGATCTCCCAGGAGATATTCTGAAAACAATTTTGTTTAATCATCAAAATAATATAGAAGATTTAAATACAGTATATAATACTACAAAAAAATTTAGATTTGGTATAAAGCAAGTGAATTATATCCTCTGTATATACAGATCAATATTTCTACTGTTATTTATAAAAAATTATAAAAATCGGACTAAATATTTTTTCAATCATTAATGGAGTAAGTCTATTGGGGATACTATTTAAAAAAAAAAACACATCACACATCAACAATAATATCTCTAGGGTAACGAAGAAATCTATTGAAAACCAATATCTACGAACGTTATACACGTAACATAATAGTCGTCCACTTAAAATATTTTGATTCATGAAGCAGAGCATACTTTTTTTCTTCAAATCTTTATTTTTGTGCGAAATCGATTCAGTGTATTTTTATCAAAATTTGAAGTTAGCGAGCTCTTCTTAACATTTAACGTTAATTATAATGTGTTATTTACAATGTATCCTGGCGATGTGATACTTTTAATCCCAAACCATGTTGTCAAAATTTATATAAATATATTTGAATCCATTTAAAAATATCAAAAGAAACATAGCTTGAGAAAATTGATAAAATGAAAACATGATTAAAAGCATTTCATTTAAAAGTTTAAAGCAAAAAAGTATAACATCGTAAATTTGCATTTACGTGGCTGAGCACTCTATATATAATTTTTTTTACATGCGGCGCACGCGCGATTGTCATGAGGCAAACGCAGGCCCCAATTATTTTTGTTCTTCATTACACGCTTGTTACAACTAACTTCCGTTACAATTGTCATCAGTCTCTCTGCACCTTTTATGTCCTTTAGATGTCTCATCTCACTATCATTATTATTTTAATTATAAAATAATTTTATTCTCTTCTTTTAATTTAATAATCAAATTAAATTCTAAAATACATTTTCAGGTTTTATTTCTATAAAATTAAAAAATACTGAAATTTATCAATAAAAAAATCATTTAAAAAATAAATAGAATAAATAAATAAATAAATAAATAAAAATAAATAAATCAAAATAATAATATATAAAATAAAAATATGAAAGGCGAGCGCGTAGCGCGTAGCGCGCGTTGTGTGCTAGTAGAATAAAAAATTCTTAATCACTATCAAAATTTCTTTAAATTCTCTTCGTATTAAGTCGGATAATTGAGGTTATTTCTACAATTCTTCAATTCTACTGTATATAATATATATTATATTACATATAATACGTAAGTAATCATTTTGATGCATATTGTACCAATTTACATCATTCTTTAAATATATCGTTAAAATTAAAATAATTTAATGGAAAGTTACTAGTTACTCCACGTAGTACATGTATCAAGTGCATGATGTGAATTAAGCCAATAGCGTGTGTGTAATATGCTGTATACAATATTGTCCTGTGCAATATTGCTGTGTGCAAACAAAGCTGTAGGCAATTGTGTTATAGACAAACGAAAACTCCTGTAAAATCTACATGTTTGAGTTAATTTAACATAGGATTATGTATAGATACTGCATGGAGTTAAATTCACACTGCTATTTTTAAAAATATAATAATAATTTGGGGAATTAAATTGTGTATAGCTGAAATGAAAATAATTTTTATTATGTTTTATATCTTGATATAATTTTAATTAATTATAAATTTAATCTTGACATAAATTTGTATTGTAAGCCGAGCAAAGTCATATTTTAAGTCATAAATTTTTGTATTAGATGATTTCAAGCTCCGAAGTATAAGCATGGTCAACAAATTCAGTATCCATTTGTAAATTTAAGTTTTTTATGTTTTTATGTATAATATTTTGAAAGTCAATTTTTAATTAAAATTTCTTTCTCTGTCCAATATGCAAACATTATCCCCCAATCAAATTCATGTGTTGTAACCTATGGTCTATAATATAAATTAACTGATGTTTTTCTAGAGAGATTGCGATGTTTAGAAATTCTAGTGTCTTTAATTGCCGACTTGTTTGCCCCATGTGCGAAGCTTCACAATACTTGCAGGTAATCCTGTAGACCGTCTTTTTGCGAACTAATTGGTAACAGATCCTTGTAAACTCTGATCAAACCTCGAAGTTTGTTCAGACAATCGAGGTTGTCCAAACTGGGCAGTTCTTTTATTGATTTTATTGATATTTAATATCAAATTTGCAACTAAAGCTGCTCTTTTTAATAAATTAATATGCGTAACAGCTATTATACTATTTTTATTCAATATATTATATATTATAATTTTATATA